CTAGTTATAGGATTCTTTGAGTTATCTGTTTCATCTTAGGTGAATTTTGGTAGTTGGTGTGTTTCAAGGAATTGATCCATTTAAAGTTGTTGAATTTGTGTGCACAGAGTTGTTTGTAGTATTTCCTTATTATCCTTTTAATAGCTATAGAGATATGATAAGATACTCTCTCTTTCATTCCTGATATTGGTAATTAGTATCATCTTCCTTTTTTCTTTGGCAGCCTGGCTTGAAATTTATCCATTTTATTTATTTTTTTCAAAGAACCAAATTTTAGTTTCAATGATTTTCTCTTTTGAATTTCATTAATTTTTCCTCCTATCTTTTCCTTCTATTATTTCCTTCTTTCTGTTTGCCCTCAGTTTATTTTGCTCTTTTCTTTTTACTTTTTTAAGGTGGAATGCTTAGAGCTTTGATATGAGACCTCGTTTCTTTTCTAACGTAAACATTTAATGCTATCAATATCCCCCTAAACACTGCATTAGCTACATCCCATTTTCCATTTTGATGTTGTATTTTTATTTTTATTCAGTTCAAAATATTTTCTAATTTTCTCCAAGACTTCCTCTTTGACCCACAGATTAATTAGAAGTATATTGCTTAATATCCAAGAATTTGGAGACTTTATAATTATCTTTCTGTTACTGATTTCTATTTTAATTCCATTAGAGTTAGACATCATACTCTGTATGGTTTTGGTTCTTTTAAATTTGTTGAGATTTATTTTATGACCCAGGACATGATCTATCTTGGTGAATTTGTCAAGTGCACTTGAAAACAATGCGTATACTGCTGTTGTTGGGTGGAATGTTCTATAAATGTCAATTGGGTCAAATTGGTTGATAGTGTTGTTCAGTTCTATATTCTTGCCGATTTTTTGCCAACTTTTTCTATTGATTACTGAGTGTGAAGTTTCCGACCCTATTTGTGGACTTGTCTATTTCTCCTTTCACTTCTATTTGTTTTTGCTTCATGTATTTTGAAGTATATTGTTAGATGCAATATCCTACAATATTCTTGTAGGATAGGGTTGTCAGATTTAACAAAAACAAAAACTAAACTAAACAAAAAATGACTAGGATGGCCAGTTAAATTTAAATTTTAGATAAACAATAAATAATCTCTTAGTATAAGTATGTGCAATACAATATTTGTAGTTTATCTGGCAACTCTAATTTAGGATTGTTAGATCTTTTTGGTGAACTGACCTTTTTATCAATATGTAATGTCTCTCTTTGTCCGTGGTAATTTTCCTTACTCTGAGGTCTACTTTGTTTGATATTAACAGCCACTCCAGTTTTTTTTTCTCCCCAAGCTTTCCTCTGATTAGTGTTTTCATGGTCTATGCACGTCAAAGAAAGGCAGATATTGTCAGACTTAAAACAAACAGCAGCAGCAACAACAACCATGTGCTACTTATGAAACTCATTTTAAATATGATATTGATTATATTATGTGCCAAGTACTATGCCAAATGCAATCCTGTTTAAGCAGACAAATACATTATGGTTATCACTTTATCAGTTAACGGAGAAGGAAACTGAGGTTTCAAAATGATATATTTATTGTTTAAGATCATACAGCTACTAAATAATGGAATCAGAGTTCAAAGCTTAGTCTAACTCCAAGTTGATATCTTAACCACTGGGTTATTCTGGTTATTTTGCCTGTAAGCCGAGAGTTGTAAAACTTTTTTTGTAAAGGTCAGATAGTGAATATTTTAGGCTTTACAGGTCATATGGTTTCTCACAACTATCTAACTCTGCCTATAGCACAATAGCTGCCATAGATAATGTAGAAATAAATGAATGTGGCTGTGTTCC